GCTAAGAAGGACAGGCCCTGGGCGAAGTCCTAATGGGCAGGGGAAAGCGGCTAACAGTAAAGGCAGCAGGAGGGTCAGCAGGGCCCAGAGGATGTCCAAGAAGCTAGAGGAAGAGCTGGGGTGGAGGTACTTGCTGTCTGTCAACAAGTTTATTGAGCATCTACTCGAGATATAGAAGTGAGCCAGATCTGGCCCCTGCCCTCCTCTGCCGGGTCAGACCCACCGACTGAAGTGGGAGTGGTCGTGGTGAGTTTAGTCAGGGTGGTGTTGGCATGAAGCAGGCGATGCCTCCAGCAAGCTTCCACCAGGCACCCGCTTCCTGTCCAGCAGGGTGTCCTCAGGCCTAGCCTGGCTCTAACCAGCTCTGTGACTTTGAGCAGCTCCCTCGACTCTCCCTCGGTTTCCTCAACTGTAAAATGGACTCTGATGCCTCCAGCACTGCCTACGCCCTGAAGTTGAGGACGATGCCTCCAGCAAGCTTCCACCAGGCACCCGCTTCCTGTCCAGCAGGGTGTCCTCAGGCCCAGCCTGGCTCTAACCAGCTCTGTGACTTTGAGCAGCTCCCTCGACTCTCCCTTGGTTTCCTCAACTGTAAAATGGACTCTGATGCCTCCAGCACTGCCTACGCCCTGAAGTTGAGGTCTCCGGAACTTAAAAGGGGACCCCAAGCTTCAGGGCTGTGCTGCAGCCCTGCCACAGGGGCCTCGGCTCAAGGCCTGGAGCAGAACTGGGCGGACACAGGGCCATGGCTTGGCTCTGGCTCAGACAGGGGCTGGGTCCGGGTGTGCGATTGGGACAGTTCCCACCCAGAAGCCCGGAGGGCGCCCGGTTCTGGTTCTGCCAAGAAAGTGCACCCTGGTCTGATGGGCACAAAGGCAACAGCTGCTCGCTTCCACCTCCGATGGCACTAGAGGGCCCTCGGGGGCCCAGGGAAGGTTTTATGCTGAGTCCTTAACTGAACATTTCAGAGGCAGCCCTGCTGTGGCAGAGTGGGGACAGGGTGCGGAGCTCGGGACCTCCACCCCGAGTCACCCTACTCTTCCCATGCATCTGGGGTGGGGATGGGACCCGAATGTAGACGATCTGACGTCACTCTCCAGCGAGGACCAGCCCACTCCAGCCCCCAGCCAACCCAAGGCCGCAGCCCGCTCCCCACCCCAGTCTCCGCCCCTGCACCCTGCAACTCGATCCGCGCCAGCTGTCCCTGCTCCTGCTGCCGGCTGGGTCGGGGCCATCCTGTCGCCTCCCATCTCCTGCCCACCTTCAGGGCCCAGCCACGTGACCTGCCAGGATTGCGATTGTTTGTGAGCTATCTGTCCCCTCCCGGGCTGCCAGCCAGGACCTGGACCCCAGTACCTACAGCATTTATCCCGTATCTCTCAGCCCTGCTCAAAGAAGGAGGACGGAGAAACGGGTCCCTGTTCCCAAGAGGAGGAATCCCCTCTGGGCTCATTAAGTTTCCACGTGGGTGTCATGGAGCCAGGGCCCACAGAAGCCCACCAGTGTCTGTGGCCTGGCTCTAGGGCAGAGTGGCTCAGTCCCAGCACTTCTGACATTTTGGGATGGAACATTCTTAGTGGTGGGCATTGTAGGATGCTAGGCGGTGTCGCCGGCCTCTGCCTGCTAAGTGCTAAGAGTACCATCAACCTTAGTTGTGATGACATGTCCAACTGTTCCTTAGGGGGCACACTCTCCTAGCTTTATAGCGGCATTAGAGCCAGCCACACAGTGCATGGGGTCTGGAGCTTGAGGTCCCTGCAGCCCAGGACTCTGTGATGGTATTGCTGGGCCTCGCCCTTCTCCATGCTGGGGACTGTGACCCTTGGCCTGACGACATTTGAGCAGCTTGTGACTGGCCAGCTCCTTTCTCCATGCAAACACCTCAGCTCCCACCCAGATGTGGGTACTGAGCAGAGCCCTGGGACAGGGGATGCTGGGGACTCAGGCCTGTTTCCTGTCACTAGCAGCTGGGGCACCAGAAAGAGACTCACACACTGTGTGCATCAGGCAGCCTCATGTTCAGGGATAGGAGCTGGGCTGAGGCCACAACCTCAACCCAGGGGCTGTCAGAACTGAAGGTCAGGGGAGCATCCTGGTCAGCAGGTCCCCCCCCCACACACGGGTGGGGTTTCAGAGAAGGACATGGAATGAGTCAGTGTCAGCTGGGGAGGTCACCAGGTGGAGGGCAGACAGAGGGTGGGGCTGGTGCCAATGCCGTCCCGCCCACACCCTCTCTGCCCTCCCCATCCCACACACAAAGTAGAATTTTCAGAAGAATTCAATCCCAGTGGTACCCCTCACCCTATATATCCACATTTGCCTGTATTTGCATAAGGGAGCTCTGCAATAACAGAAGACAAAGGTTAAAGAAGGGGGCAGTCACCTGGACCAGGCAGGTGACAGACAAGAAGACTTTTTACTGTCTTGTTTCATTTCCTTTTCTTCCTTTTTTTATTTTCTGTCTCTCTTTCTCTTTCTTTTCTCTCTCTTTTTCTCCCTTCCTTCCTCTCTCTTTCTCTCTATCCTTCCTCCTTCCATTTCTTTTCCTCTTTCTTTCTCCATGAAAATAAATTACATATTTAAAAAAAAATTATCTGAAGAAAGAAAAGGAACCACAGAGTGTAGCAGTGACTCTCCCCTGTGGCCTGCGGTGGCCCTGCCCCAGCCTTCACAAAGGCCAGACTGAGCAATCCTCCGCCACCCTCTCGTCTGTCCCCCTTTTTTTTCTAGACAGGCCAGCCCTCACCCTGCCTAGGTTTTCGGATTCATTCTCCCCTTGGGAGGACTTTTGAGGAGGCTGAGGATGGCAGGCCTGGGGACGACGGGGTGAGGTCCTTGCATGTACGTGGTAGGGGCCCCCACCCTGCATCCCAGCCCTGCTGAATAATTCTGAGAAGACTGACTTAGATTTGCGTTCACAGAACAGATTGGCGTGCTGTCGCCATGTGCCACTTCTCTGTGTGCAGCTCATCATTATAAAACATGCTGTGTCCCGCAGGACAGACGATAGCAGACATGGGAATAACATTTGGCTCGTTCATTCATTCATTCATCAGTTCTCCATCAATATTTATTAAAGGCTGTTCCTTGCCATCATTTGAGCTGACATCAGTTCCCACGCTGATCTCTCCCCGGCCCCCAATTCTTTCTGGCACACAATTCTGAGACTCCATCTTTCTAAGTCACTTCAGCCAGGTGTCATATGTGTCTAGAAGGAGCCACTTACTGTGGCTGATATCCTCTTGGGTCTGCAAGGGCAAAGTCACTCCCATATGTGCATATGTGTCAATGCACCTATGTTGGGGATGGGGACTCAGCTGATGGGGACCTTGTTGATAAACTGGTAGAAGCTGTGTCTCTGGAAAGTGGAGCCGAGGGGACAGCCTGGGTTGGGATGGGGGAGTCTCTCCCTTGGTTATTAATTGGAAAGGTCAAGAGAGGAGTTTCTGAATCACTGGAAGGTGCATTCTCCGTGGGGACCAGTGAGAAAGGAAATTGGTGTATTTGTTTGCTGAGGCTGACTGACAAGGTACCGCAGACTGGACAGCTTCAACGTCAGAAACCCATCATCTCACAGTTCTGGAGTCTGGAAGCTCAAAGTGGAGGTGCTGGCGGGGCTGGTTCCTTCTGAGGGCCGTGAGGGAAGGGTCTGCTCCAGGCCTCCCTACTTACTTTGTAGATGGCGTCTTCTCCCTGTGTCTCTTCACATTGTCACTCCTGTATGCATGTCTCTGTGTCCAAATATTTCTTTTTTTTTTTTTTTTAAAGATGACCGGTAAGGGGATCTCAGCCCTTGGCTTGGTGATGTCAGCACCACGCTCACCACTCCTGTATGCATGTCTCTGTGTCCAAATATTTCTTTTTTTTTTTTTTTTAAAGATGACCAGTAAGGGGATCTCAGCCCTTGGCTTGGTGATGTCAGCACCACGCTCAGCCAGTGAGCGAACCGGCCATCCCTATATAGGATCCGAACCCGTAGCCTTGGTGTTATCAGCACCACACTCTACCGAGTGAGCCACGGGCCGGCCCCAAATATTTCTTTTTAATAAGGACACGGTTCTATTAGATGAGAGCCCACCCTGATGACCTTATTTTACCTTGATTACCTCCGCAAAGACTCTATCTCCAAATAAGGTCTCATTCTGAAGTACTGGGGATTTCAACCTGTGAACTGGGGGCAGGGGGGACAATCCAACCCATCACACCCGGGCTGCAGTCTTGCATGAGGCTGCAGGGAGCAGGCCTGTGGAGAAGACTCCTCCCACGGTGGCCTAGGGGGAGGCCATGCAGTGCATCCTTCACAGGTGGGACCTGCGCACGTGGCAGTGGTTGTGTTCCACGTGTCTCCCGGGTGTCTGGTTCCCTCTGGTGATGAGGACCCCTACATGAGGGCTGAGACTCTTTGGCATCACCATGTTGAGAATTTTTCCTCCTCCAGGAAAGCAAATGGGATTCAGAAGCAGAAACAATTATCTCTTTATTGTCCATAAGCCAAGGACATGGAGCTCTACGTGCCCCTTCCCAGATACAGGCTACAGACATGGGCTGAGGGGGGGCCAGGCAGTAAGCAAACATGAAGGGTAAACCTCTGTTTGGAAAGCAGACTTCCTTGTCCTTCATGTTTTAATAAAAGAAGAGGGAAGAAACTGCCCCCTCTGCATCCCAAATGAGGTAAGAGAGTTGCAATTGGATGTCTCAGTGGGCCCAGAGTCACCCCCTAGGGAAGCCATAAAAGCCGTGGACATCTCCCCCTCTGTAAGTGGGGGCCACTCCCCAGTAGTGAGCAGTGTCAGCTCGGAGCCCAAGACCACTGGGGCAGGTGCCCGGCGTGGTACAAAGAGCTCAGGACAATGACTTTTATTTATTTTGGGGGTGGCTGGCCAGTATAGGAAACTGAACCCATGACATGACCTTGGTGTTGTAAGGCTGCACTCTAATCAACTGAGCTAACCAGCCAGCCCAAGAACAATGACTTTGAAAAGGGCCATCTGGTCACCCTTGGACCAGCTGTTGAAGGACAGGCAGGGCTCTGCTGGGGCCAGCAAGGAAAGGGTAGTCAGAGGACGGGCAGGACTCAGAGTACTGGAGAACCGCCCTTGCCATCTGAAGAATTTCCTTGTAGTTTGATGCTGACCTTGGAAGTTCTGTGTTTTATCTTCATAAGGGTAAGTTTCTTTCTTTTTTTTTTTCATGATCGGTAACGGGATCGCAACCCTTTGTGTCGCGCCGGCACTGCGCTCAACCAGTGAGTGGACCGGTTTCTATATGGGATCCGAACCCTCGGCGGGAGCGCCACCACACCCCCAAGCGCCGCACTCTACCCAGTGTGCCACCGGGCCGGCCCATAAGGGTAAGTTTCTTTATGAGCTCCCACTTCTGTTTAGTTTTGTTTGGGGTGGCAGGCCATTACCGGAGGATCTGAATCCTTGACCTTGGTGTTATAACAATGAGCTCCCACTTCTAAATTCAGATCCTGAAATCCTTTCCTCTGGGCATAACCTCTTTACCTCCACCTTCCTTCCCTCTCACTGGATTTACTCCTCCTCTCTTGGGATCTCTTTTGTCCTGGCCCCTTCCTCTCTCCCAATACACAGTCCACAGGGACACAAAGCCCTGAGCCAAGGCCAAGGCCAGGCTGCACTGTCTGCAAACAGGGATGCTCCAGCCACAACCTCACGGGTGACCAAAAGGGGGTCCAAGCTACCACGTCTCTTGCTGGAATTATTGCAGCAGCCTCCCTCTGCCTCCTCTTACCCTGCCCCCATCACAGCTTTGGAAGAATCTAGATTGCCACACTATTAGTTATATTATCGTTGTTCACACAATGCTTTCACAAATACTTCTGACCCTTGAAGTTGCAAAGGCACGGTGAGCGCAGCATTGCGTTCTCCACTGGGACTCCAGTGCCCTCCTTCTAGCTGGGACATTCACCATAATGCCCCAGACCTCCAGGAACTCCGGAAGTTCCCAGAGACTGGGGGAAGCTGGGGAGCTGCATTCTCCATACCCTTGTGCAGGCACCGGGGAGCTCTTTAACCCACTCCCACCAATTCATTTCATTCAACGCACATCTACGGACTTGCCTACCATGTGCCACGCACAGCTTTGTCCTGTCCTGCCCTGTCCCTACCCTGCCCATCCCATCGCACCCGATCCCAAACCATCCCATCTCATCCTACCTGCCACTACTGAGCACCAGTAAAGTGCCAGGTATTCCCATAATTTCTGTACAGCAGAGTTTCCTAAATTTGTGTGATCCTAGGAATCATCTGGGGGAGTTTGTTAAAATGACAGCTTCCCAGTCCCCAGCTGGAGAGAATTCTTTTTTGTTTTGTCCCCCCCCCCTTTTTTTTCTTCTAAGAATCAGGAGATCAGAGGCAGGCCCCAGAATCTGTATTCTTTTTTTTCTTCTATCTTTTTGGTGGCTGGCTAGTACGGGGATCCGAACCCTTGACCTTGGTGTTATTAGGACCTGAGTGACCTAACTGGCCAGCTCCAGAATCTGTATTCTTAACGGGTACCCCCGGGTGTTTGTTGCAATCAGCCAAGCTGGGGACCCACTGCTGTAGGGGAGACCCAGATGGGTTGAATACTGTCCTCACCCCCACCTCGCAGTCCTGTGTGGGCTGCCTGGGGAGTCTGGAGAGGAGCTGGCTGATTGAGTGACAGGGAGGCCGTTCAAATGATCTCCTTCTCACCTTTTGGGGGGACTGTGGTGGGGATGGGGTGTGGGGGGCAGAAGAGGGAAGGGTCACATGACCTAGGGCTGTGGTGCCCTAACATCCCCAATGACTTTGGATCCATCTGGAGACAGGTCAAATGTTTTTCTGGAATTTTCAAGGGCTCCGTCCGTCCTCCTCCCAGAATTCCTCAAGGGGGACAGAGATCAAGTGGGACTGAGAGGGAGGGTGCAGGGCTGGGGTCCAGGACCCCTGGGCTACTTTTCTGTCATTTTCCTGTGCCTGGGTGGAAGGCGGGGGCTGGTCCCCTCTTCACCCAGGCCAGTGGGATTTTTGCCTTGTCTTCAGCAGCATTTCTCACCTTTTAAGGTAGTCCTTTATTTTCCTGTCTTGGTTTCAATGTTTTGCACTAAACCACGAACTCCTGGAAAGGAAATATTGTCATATTTTTATCTTCATGTTCCCATCTTTGGGCCCAGTGCCTGGCCCAAGGCGGGGGTAACCATTAAATAGGCCTTAAATAAAAGGAGCCTGGGCATCAAGTGCCACCTGGTGGAGTCAGAGAGTATGGCGGTGATTGAGATTTCCACCTGGACAGTAGACCAGGAAGCACGCGTCCCCCCGCTCCAGTTTGGGGCAGCCTGTCCAAGTGTGAGGTCATATGGGGATGGGGCAGGGGTAGGGGTCCCTAGACAAGCTCTGGTGAGTAGGGGAGAGCTGGACCTTTGAAAGACGGGGCTCTCCCAGGACCATGAGGGGCAGTTGGGAAAGGAGCCTGGGACACCCAGGGCATGGAGAAAAAAGAGAGAAAAGAGGAGACAAGAGGAGGAGGCGGTACTGATACAGCAAGGACAGGAGGCTGTTCTGTCCCCTGGGTCTGCAAGAGGAGGCCCAAGCTGTGGCCCACTGTGCGTTACCCTGAGAACACGGCAGGCAGTCCTGATGGAACAGAGGCTGTGGGGTAGTGGTGCAATTACTATTCCTGTTTTGCAGGTGGAGAAGTTGGTGCTCAGAGAGGTTAGTAACTCAGCCAGGGTCACACAGCTTATCAGAAGCAGGGCTGGGATTTAAAGCCAGGCAGTGAAACCCAGAGTCCATGCTCTTAATCACTTTCAGCATTTTTCATTTATTCACTCACTCACTCATTCATTCATTCATTTTGAGAACCACCTTTATGGGCCTGAGTAAAAGCCTGGGACTTGTCATGCTGAGCCCTTCTCTGGGGAGAGTTTCGGTGGTCCCGGGTTAGACAGCAGCTCCCTGAATCACACCGCTGGCTGACTCCTCTGCTCTTTGCCCCTCTCTTAAGCGCAGTACAGTGTCTGAAACCTCCTTTCTGCCCCTACAGCATCCCCCCACTTTCCCTCTTCCTCAGGGCATAGATGCCCTGCCAGGGCTCTACTCATCAATTGTGCAAGAATCTGGGGTCACAGTTGGGTAGGGAAAAGGGGAAGGTTAGGGAGGAGGCTCAGGTGTGGGTATTATTAAAAAGCTCCCCAAAGCATTCCGATGTGCACCAGGTTTGAGACCCCTGTCAGCATGTGCAGAAACAGTCATGGTCAGTGGGACTGGGAAGCCATCTCAGGATCATGCCTCTTTCTGCCTCACCCTACAGAGTCCCCTTTAGTGCTGCACTATTTCTTCTACATTCTAACCCTGCCCACACATATGCACACACACACACACACCAACCCCCCAAACCACCCACGATAAAGTGGAGCCTCCTCTTCCCTAGGAGCTGGAAACCTTGCCAATGTTTAAGGCCACATCCTAGAGTCCCTTCCCCTGGGGCCAAAACACACCTTCAGGAAGGGATACCTGTCAGCTGGGAAGTTTGGGGTGGCATGGCCTTGAACCCGGAGGCTTCTGGTGAAGAACCTAACCCTTACCAGGAGGGAAGGGCAGGGAGGCATGAGACCCATGTCCCTGTCTTTGCCTTCTCAGTCCCTGAGGAGAGGCAGGTTCTCCCCCAACTCTCCACCTGCAGTTTAGCCCCTCCCCTCTTCTGGAACAGTCCAGCAGAAGCAGGAGGTGGAGCAATATAGCCTGCTCACCCTAAGGGGGGAGCTGGACTGTCCCAGGTTGGCCTCAGAGCTAGTGATCCTGTTGGGTATCTGAGGACCCCTGGTTTCATCAGCTGCCAACCTGGAGCCTCGGAGATCCCAGAGGCTGAGCCCCTGCCCGGTCCCTCTTGGGTGGCCTGGCCTGAAGGCTGGGTGCAGCCGATTTCCTCCTCTGCGACTCCTGCCTTTCTCCTTTCGTCCTCTCCTGCCTCTCTGAAGCCCTCAGATTCTCTTCCCCTGTTCCCAGTCTGCAGGCTGGGGGATCTGGAAGGATCGATGCCACACACCTGGATTCCCTGTACAGCCGCCTCTCCATTTCCCAGCTTGTAGAGACAGGAGCAGTTACCTGCCCAAGAAAGCCAGCAGTCCTGGCAGCCACCAACAGATGGCAACAGGGGCTGCTTGTGGAGAGCAACTTCTCTACCAGTTTGCAGACTGCGCTCCTCAGCGGTCCGCTGCCTGATGTGGGTCCCCTGGCTCAGGCCACCTTGCGAGGAAGGCCCAGGACTGTAGGACCTTCTCAAGCATTGTCCCAACCGCCTACTTGCCCCAGGGCCAAGTTCGGCCATCAGGTCTGCCCCAGCTCTGCTCTGTCCAGTCCCTGCTCACTCCCCTCCCTGCCATCCTGAGTCTTTAGGGCCCTCACATGTCCCCTCGGGGCCAACCGGACATGGGACAGACAAGCAGGGAGGGGCTGGGGGAGGTTAAGCCATCCATTCCCTCTGTCAAAAGTGTTTAACTGCTTTGGTACTTGGTTTGTTGACAGCCTTCCCTGTTTTCTCTCACTTTGCAGGAAAGAAAGAGTCCAGTTCTTTGAAATACTAAAAATAGATCTGTGGATTTAAAAAAAAAAAAAAGAAGAAAGGTAAACAAGGCTCCCCCTTAGGGAGTCACAGTGGCAGACAGGAGTTTGGGGGTTAATATGCACAGATGTGGGTCCTTTTGTTTTTTGGTGGATGCCCAGTCCAGGGACCCAGACCCTTGACCTTGGTGTTAGCACCGTGTTCTAACCAAGTGAGCTAACCAGCCAGCCCCAGATCTGGGTTCTTATAGGTGAGTTTTCTCAGCTCCCTGAGTCGTGAGGAGTCGATTCACCTCTGTGCGTGGTGGGAGTTCAGCAAACATCTCAAAACATCCCTGTGGATCACCCAGTGCGTTCACATCTCTGATCTCATTTCAAGCCTCCCAGCAATCCGTGAAGCGGGCAGGGCTCTGATCTTCCCCACTGTGCCGCCCCCATTGTCATGGTCAGGGGGGCCTCCCTGAGGCAGGTGCCCTTAATCCATCTCCCACCCCTGATCCTGCTCCATGGAGGGAACTCAGAAGGGACACCGGGGGGCTGTGCCGGGCAGAGGCTGCCCTCTTAGACACTGCCCTTATGTGTGTGTCCCTGGGGATGGGGTGGGGGTTGAGCAGTGACTTGAAGCCACTACTGCTTCCTTGTCCAGCTGAGCAGACCACCAGCCTCTACTTGAAACTATTTTTTGTTAAGGTTTAACTTAGGTGAAGTGTCCAAATCTTAAGTGCTCATGGGTGCCCTTCTGAGCTCCATGGGTCCCAGCCTGCTGTTCTCACCCCTGGCTCCTCTCTCCCTGGTGGAGAAATTATCTCCAGGCCCAGGCCCTGGGTAGAGCAGGGGCTCTGTGGGCAGGAAGCCTCAGGGAAGGGGGACGGTGAGGGTTCTCGCACCTCTGGCTGCCACAGCCACCCCTCTGCTTGCTGGCAGCTTCCTCTTCCTGTCTGTCTTGACCACAGTGCACCCAAGACCAAGCAGGCAGTCGTGATGGCTCCGTAATGACCAGCTGGTGTGGACTGTGGCTGGGGACTGTGGGACACACTGGAACTCAGGTTGTTCAAGCTGCTTCGGCCCCTGAAGGATCCAGCCACGCTGGGGCAGCTTCCCCAGAGATGGGCAGGAGCATGGGGAGTGGGCAGGCCCTGGGAGTCCAGCAGGGAGGCGAGGCAGGCCAGGCCACCCAGGCTCCTGGGGAAGGGAAACTGGGTCCTCCCAGTCGTCAGTCCATCCTTCCCTGCTGCACCTCCCCGACGGCTTGTCAGTCGGAGCTGGCTCTGTTCCTCATGGATCTTGCAGCTCATTCAAACCCTACCTGTGTGCATTCAACCCCAGCAAAAACACCTGGCACGTAGTAGGCGCTCAGTGGAGGTCACATTCCTTCCCCTTTTGTCCCGCGCTCGCACGATCATCAAGCTCTTCTTCCTTCTGTGGGGCTGCAGCCACACAGACCCGCCTCCTGCCTCTGGCCCCAGCTGCCCAGCCTCTGCCCGCTCCTGAGCAGTGCCCACCGGCCAGCGCCCTCCCTGAGGTCCGCCTCCAGCTCAGGGGATGGAGTGGCAGAGTGGACGGGGGACCACAGGGCTGCCTCGGTGGGACGGCAGGTCTGAGATGGAGCAGCTTTGGAAAGGGAAGTTCTGCTGACAGGCCCCACGGCTCATCCACTCCCCAGATATTTTCGTGGGACCTTTGGGTTTGCAAAACCCCAAAGCCCTGCATACATCCCCACCAGCACCCTGCCCCACCGGCCTCTGAGCATGTGCATCCACACTGGGAAGAGGCTTCAAACCACGTCACAGGTTTTGTGGCTGCTGTTGGATCCCACCTGAGAAGGGGGCTCAGCCCTGTGGCCCTGGCGTTCGTCTTGCCCTGCACCAACATCTGGCGATGGCTACCAGGGACTTGCGGGGACAGTGTCACTTCCTTAGCTTTCTGATGCTGTGCATCATTTTGTTTGCATCATTTTGTTTCTTCCTTTGGATCAGTGGACAGATTGGGCTGAGTAGAATGGCTGTGGCAGGGATCAGGTCCCCTGACCTTGCCCCTTGGCGGTAGGTCAGGTGTTTCTCTGTGTTCCTAAGGATGGTTGCATCCCACAGATGGCTGCGTAGCATACTTCTCCCTGTTGAATCCGATTCTCCCAGTGCTTTTCACTGTATCCCCTTGGAAAAAGACTGGCCTGAAGACATCAAGTAATGTCTCACATTGGAGTATATTTATAACCATTGCATTATTCTCACAGTTGAGTTATTGTTACTGATGTTTTACAGAAGCCACAGGTTTTGCTCAAGGTCACTGAGTAAGTGGATGTGCTGCACGACAGCCTACCTCCTGATTCTCTTTCTGGCCTGGACGTTCGAGACGGCAGTAACACCTCTTGGATCATGACTGAATTAAAAAATATACATTTCTGGGAAATTTTGCAATGGTCAGGCCATGTAAACCACCAAATATGACACCTATCTTACATTTTCATGTTCAGCTCATCAAAGCATCCTGGATCTCAACAAGTTTTAGTGAATCTATGACCTAATTGTCATAGAAATTCCTCCAATGTCTACCAAGCTCTGTCCTTGAGTCTTCCAACAGCAGAACCAGAAAGTCTCCTTGGCTTCCCAGCACTGTCCGAGCAAGATGTTCCTGTGCCCAGAAGGAAGGAGAGAAGTGAAAATCCAAAACAGAGCAGCAGGGAAGGGCATTCTTGGGACCCCATAGCTAGTGCAGGGCTCGGCATGGGTGGAGCTTGGTGACTACAAGCTTTCAGGGGACACATTACCCATTAGGTTCAGGGTTTCCTGTGCCCTTGTGGCCATTCCGTGCAAGCTGGGGGTGCGTATCACAAGGCGCGTGCACGCGCGTGTGTGTCTGTGTGTGTGTTTGGAGTCCAAACTCCAGGGAAGTGCATCAGGGAAGAAAGGTATCCCTGCCAAGTCACTGCTCTGTCCCCAGCCCTGAGCTGGGTCCAATGGAGGCTAAACAGGAGGGAAGGTCATACTGTGAGGACCTTCAGGTCAAGTTGAGGATACATTTTCAAGACTAGGAACCATTCAGGGACTCTGGGGCCATTTGCCAACAAGGGCATCCAGGCCTAGGGCTGGGGGCTCATGGCAGGGAGCCCTCAGGATGCCCTCATTGTGGGTACAGCCCAGGGCCGGAAAAGCAGACGCAGTTTGCCCTCCTCTCAGGGCTGCTCATCCTGACCACAAGCAAACAAGGGGGAGTTATGGGCCCCGCTAGAAGGAGACCTGGGCCGTGCAGTCCTCGGGGGTAGGAGAGACGGGGAAGAGCAGGCCTGTGAGCTGTAGGGCTCAGGTGCAGAGGGCTCGTCACCGGAAACAGCTGTGGAACCTGCCCGCTCAACCGGGCTTGAAGAGGACGCTGCAGAGTTCCCGGGGTGTCTCCGGCAGCCAGTGGCCGTCGGCTCCCTCAGCTTCCTCTGTTTTCTGACCAGCCCAGGAACAGAACCAAAAGAAGTTGAACAAGGAAGCAGCACAGTTCAGAGAAAAGCAGAAGCCGGAGACTTGGAGATGTGACCCTCCCTTGAGGAGGCTGAAGCCCGGCACTGTAGCAGGTGACATCTGTGCTGGAGAAATGACCCAGGGGGACTGGGCCGTGTGGCTGCCTTTAGCTCTGCTGCTTCTCTGGGTCCCAGGTGAGGGGCTGTCTGCCTGGGGCGGGTCTGCAGGAGGGAGGGAGGGTGTGAGGGGCAGGGCTGCAAGGGAGGTGTCGCGTGGGCCACCAAGACCCTGGACCCCAGACAGAAGGCAGAGTAGGGTGTGCTCTGTCCACCACATGGACTGCACCCCTGAGAGGGGAAGGGGCAAGTGTCTCTCTTCCTCTACACCCACCTGACTTTGGATGTGCCACATTGGGACTCAGGGCAAAGGGTGGGCACAGAGGAGGGGCTTTGATGGGAGGTTTTTGGTTGGATTATTACAGGAAGGACTAGAGGCAGGATGAATCAAATGGGTAGGGGTGGCCACTGCTGGGCGCTCCTGAGGGCCGTGAGCTTGGGGGAGGTGGCCTGCCGGCTCACCAGCTGCAAGGTGTGGAGCAGGGCGAGGACTGGGGAGGGCTGGGGCCTGGTCTCAGGTTTAGCCAGGCAGCAGCCCTGTGGCTGGCATGGTTTGTGGCAACCTCAGTGTATGCCTGAGGACCAGGGGAGCCAGTGTCTTCAGGGAGGGAGATCTGGACAGAGAGGAGAGGGTGATGGGAAGAGAAACTGGGAGAGAAGGGAGGCAACTTCTCTAGGGTTGAGCCTTCTATCCAAGGACCAGGCTTTCTCCCATGCATTTACCTTCTGTGCCCTCGGTAGCTTTTACAGCTCACCTCAGACAGGTCCTGCAGCCTTATTAGGCTCAGCCCTAGGATAATTTAAATCTTTTTGGATGCTTTTCTTATAAATTGGAGGTTCTCTTCTATGATATTTGTTAACTAGTTGTCTATAGGTTTAAATAGTAACTGGTTGCTATTACTTTTTGTGTATTGGTTTGGAAACGGGTCATCCTCCCGTTACCAGCATTTGTGTTGAGTCCTTGGGTGTTCTGTCTCCATGGCATCTGTGAGCTTTAGAGTTTGCAGTTCCTCTCTGATGTCTGTTTCTCTTTCTCTCATTGGCTCATTGGCTGGTAAAGCCAGAATGATGCCCAGAGGCCGTGTGGTCTCGGTCATCCCCGCCTCGTCCCTGACTCAGGGGATGGTGGCCAGTGTTTCCCATTTAGTATAAAGAAAGTGCCCACCAATGTCTATTTACAAAAGGTTTTTAATACCAACAGCAACATGTGTCAGGGGCTTTTTCATTATCCATAGAGATTATTTTTTTCCTTCTTTAAATTATTCAGGAGGTGAATTATACAAGAGATCTGGCCAGATTTTAGTCTCTTTATATTATGCTGACTTTGTGAAAAGAATTAGGAAGAGTTCCCTGTTCCTATGTTCTCTGCAAATGTTAAATATTTAAATAAAATTGAAATTGTTTGTTCCTTGAAGGTTTGAGTGAACTAACTTGTGAAACTGTCTAGGTTTTGCTAAACCCCCCCCCCCTTTTTTTTTGTTGGAAAAGAATTATTTAACGACACATCATTATTGGTCTTTTTTTTTTTTTTTAAACCTATTCTTGGCCTAACGTGGCCATTTATATTTTCCTAGAAAATCATCATTTTCACAGTTTTCATCCAGGTTACAGACTTATTTGCAGAGACTTGCAAATTACCCTGGTGGTTGTTTTTCTTTTTATTTGTGTATTTGGGTCTTCTTTTTTTTTTTTTTTTTTTGACTTGGCTACCCACTAGTCTGTCGATTTCACGGTTTGCCCCTCTCAAAAGGAAAGTCAGTTTTTCAATGTATGTACTAGTTCCACTGTTTTTCTGTTTCCTAATTCACTAATTCTGCTTTAGTGTCATTCTTTCTTGCCCACTGCGTTGGCTGTGTCTGCAGGTGTCCTCTCCTGGCTTCCTGAGTTGGGCAGTTCACTCCTTTATTTGGGATTTAATGGGACGAGACTCTGTGATCCCAAAGTAAGACATTAAGATAACAGAGAAAGATCCTGGTAGAAGAGTCTTGAAAATAGTAAAGGCCCTGGCCCCAAGGTGTCTTCCGCCTCCTGTGTTTATGATCAGAGGGTTGGGGGTGGTGGTAAGTGTCGGAAATGGAGAAAGCATAGAAAAGCAAAATTGGGAAGATCATAAATAGGTGTTATTATTCCAGGTATGTGAGGAAATAAAACTAAAGGTTTTCTGACACTCTCCTATCTCTAAATTAGAATGACACCTTCAAGGTGAGTCAGGCCTTTTGGGAGGCTGGGTAACAATTTTTCACCAAGATTTCAGAGGAGAAAAATGAATCAGGAGAGAGAGAGAGAAGGTGAAAATCCAGAGGGAACTCAGACTCTGCAGACAGGACTGGGTGCTGTGGGTGGCGGTGGTGGGGTCACCCAGATCAGGGAAAAAAGCCAAGACTCAGATGAGAAAAGGACGACAACTCACAGCCAAGGAGAGGCAGGGGATAGAGGCAGGATGTGGAGGCCTGGAATAGAGTCTTGGGTAAAGGAGGGCTGGGAACTGATGTATCTTTATTAAGCACTTAATATGTGTCAATCTTAGTGATTTGTGTTTTTCTAGAAAATTCCACATTCATCCAGGTCACACTTTTTTATAGAGAACTTCTGCAAGGTACCATCACGATTCTTTTTGTCTTCTCTCTATGTGTATTACTTGCTATTTTCTCTTTTCATTTCTTATTTAAGCTAGACAGAGTGTTGTCTATTTTTATTCGACCAAATTATATGAAATTCCCATTTTCTTGGCCAAAACCAGTTGAATATCAGCAATTTCATATGGTTCAACTTCAACCTACTATTATATGCAGTTTACACCCACGATCTCATTTAACACTCCCAAAAGCTGTGTGAGGTAGGCACAATCATCACCACTTCACAGAGAGGCATCTGAAGCTCAGAGAGGTTGAGTAATTTGCTCCGGACACACAGCTGACACGTAATAGAGCTGAGACTAAACCCAGATTCTTCTGAGGTCCTTTCTGCTTTGCCTTGGCAATAGCTACTGAGGATCTCAGTAAATGTCACACAGGAGTTGGAAGGACCTTCTCTACAGGGGATTTGTACACCCAGGCCAGAAGGAGGGATCCTTGTGAACTCCTAGACTGAGGAGCTTGCAGTCAGCTTTGGGCAGCCATGGACTGAGAGTGGGGAGCTGATGGGGTGGGGGAGGGGCTCAGGCTGCAGCATTTACTAAGGACCTACTATGTGCCAGGCACTGAAGGTGTAACAAGGAGACCCTGCTCTCCTGTGGCTTGCATTAGGATGACCCCAAAGTCTCAAACATGGGGATTTAAGAACCTGAACAAGTAAGTAAAATTAAAGAGCTGTAACCCTAAGCCCACTCTATCCCCCCACCCAAAACTTGGGGCCCAATCACAGAATTACAAGGGGTGAGGAAGCTGCATCCTGCACTGCCCAAGTGCCCAGGGCAGGGGCCGCGTGTCCTCTGCGTGGTGACCAGCATGGCTTCATGCCATCACCTTACTCCCCCAGTTTAAATTTTAGAGAGAAAAAAGTAAGAAAAATTAATTCTACAAGAAAATTAATTCTATAAAATTGAAAATTGAAAATTAATTCTACGAGAACTGGGCAAACTAAGGTGAGACGCAGGATGAAATGAAGGCTGTCGTCAGTGAGCCTCTGCGCTTGTGACTGTTTCGATCCACAAGCTTTGTCAGCATTCTTGTCACCGTGGCTTGGCAGCCTTATTTCTGCCCCAGCTTACATTCCCTTAGTAGAGCCAGATCGCTGTGTGGGCTGTCCTTCCACCTTCTGAGATGCCCAGGGCTGGGCTGGCCTCCCAGGAGAGCAGGGTGCTTAGGGGTGAGAGGAAAGGGTGACAGGAAAGGGGTCTAGGTTCTGAGAAAGGGGTTGCTGTGATCAAAATCAGAGCAGAGGGGGGGGACGCCCGGGGTGGGATCTGGCTGATGGGGGAGTGACGTGGAGTGAAGGACGGGGGCTCAGGGCTGGGGTGATGCAGAGTGGAGGGGCCTTGAGGGGACCCGCAACCTTGAAGGACCCAGGACGGGGCTTGTGTTTTCCAGGTTGTTTTTCTCTGAGCGGCCCCAGCACCGTGAACGGCACCGTGGGGGGATCCCTGAGCGTGCAGTGTCGGTATGAGGAGAAATACAGGACAAACAACAAGTACTGGTGCAGAGAACCGTTTATTTTAGTATGTGACAAGATCGTGGAGACCAAAAAGTCAGAGAGAAAAGAAAGGGGCAGCCGAGTGTCCATCAGGGACTATCCTGAAAACTTCAGCTTCACAGTGACCATGAGCAACCTCATGGTGGAGGACACAGGCACGTACTGGTGTGGGATCGATACACCATGGTACAGGATAGACAGAGATCCCATCTTGCAGGTTGAGGTGTCCGTGTTCCCAGGTGAGTCCCTCTCGCACCACCACCTGGGCTGAGGCTCAGGTCAGAAGAGCTGGAGCGGGAAGAATCAGGTTTCAGACTTGTATGGTGTGTGGAACAGCTGACGTCTCTGCCCAGTCTTGAAGGACGGGGAAGTGCTGGTCAGGTGTCAGGTGACTGTCAGATTTGCAGTATAGACAGACTTCTTGGGCAGCCTGCAGTGTTAGCTGGAGGGGGGACCACACTGGGCTTGGAGAGGTAACTTAGGGGCTCGCAGGAGAGCCCTGCTTGTGTTTTCCAGGTTGTTTTTCTCTGAGCGGCCCCAGCACCGTGAACGGCACCGTGGGGGAATCCCTGAGCGTGCAGTGTCGGTATGAGGAGAAATACAGGACAAACAACAAGTACTGGTGCAGAGAACCGTTTATTTTAGTATGTGACAAGATCGTGGAGACCAAAAAGTCAGAGAGAAAAGAAAGGGGCAGCCGAGTGTCCATCAGGGACTATCCTGAAAACTTCAGCTTCACAGTGACCATGAGCAACCTCATGGTGGAGGACACAGGCACGTACTGGTGTGGGATCGATACACCATGGTACAGGATAGACAGAGATCCCATCTTGCAGGTTGAGGTGTCTGTGTTCCCAGGTGAGTCCCTCTCGCACCAACACCTGGGCTGAGGCTCAGGTCAGAAGAGCTGGAGCGGGAAGAATCAGGTTTGAGACTTGTATGGTGTGTGGAACAGCTGACGTCTCTGCCCAGTCTTGAAGGACGGGGAAGTGCTGGTCAGGTGTCAGGTGACTGTCAGATTTGCAGTGTAGACAGACTTCTTGGGCAGCCTGCAGTGTTAGCTGGAGGGGGGACCACACTGGGCTTGGAGAGGCAACTTAGGGGCTCGCAGGAGAGCCTTAGCCCTCACCAGCAGATGGAATCAGGACTGTTGGGGGCGGTTCCTCTGCCCTGTCCTGACATGTTCACTTGGCCCAGGAAGATCCTGGGGAGACTTTGGCCCTGGGGTCCTCCACCCTGCCACCTTCCTGAGTGAGCATTTGGTGTGAAATCAAACCAAAAAGGCACTGGTGAGTGGCAGGAGTCAGAGGGAGATCTTCAGGTCTGATTTGTAGTTTTGCCACCAGTACCCACATCAATGACACCTACAAGTATGAGTTCCCCTGTGGCCAAGACTTCGACAGTCACAACTGAAGTTCCAGCTGCGTCGTCCACTTCCCTGGCCACAGTGAGTGCCACCCACAATACAAACATCCAGAATGACTTCCAGCAGGGCCCAGACCCAAGGTAAGGCACCCCTAGTCCCCGATCTGGGCCTTCTACTCAGGAGGGGCTCAGGATGGGGTCCTTCAGCCACGTCATCCAGTCGTTGGTAGGAACCACCCCCTGCTGGTGGGGGCCTCAGGCTCCCTTTCCCCAGGCGCAGGTTTGGAGCCTCAGTCTGTACATCCCAGCTTGGGTTGCTGAGGCCACGCTGCATCTGCCCTGGGCTGCAAGACAGGGCTCAGGGTGCGGAGAAGTTGCAGGGCAGATGGAGGAAAGTGACAGTTAATGACAGCTGGTGATATCCTAGCAGGCACGTGCTGAATGCTTCCCATGACTGCTCTTATCCGCACCTCTCCATGACACTCTGCTGCTGTCATCCTCGTCTTACAGATGAGTAAACTGAGGCTCAGAGAGCTTAAGTGATTTTCCCAGTCAGGTAATTATAAGAGGCAGGGCTGGGCTCCGGTTTATGTGACTCCAAAGTCTTGGGTTCCCCCTTCTCAGTCACCAAGCCCATGGAGAATCTGACTCTTATACACTCTCTCTCTAGAAAAATGCATGCAGTTACAAACCGCTTCTGGGTTTCACAGACTCCCCGTTCTGACTCCAACTGGGACACTGGAGTTAGCACAGATCCCACAGGTTGAGAGCTCCAACCTCTACAAGACTGCCCTCATTCAGATGCCAGCAGCACTTGGGGGATCCCCCGGTCACTGCCCTTCTGGCCAACTGGTGACACATTTGGGGATTCCCCTGACCCCCTTGGGTTCAATAATTCACTAGACTCAAAACTCTGGAGAGCACTATTTAAGGGTATTTCAAAAAGTCCATGGAAAGATTCATATTATCTTTTAATTCTATCTTTCCATGAACTTTTTGAAGTATCCTTGTATACAGTTTTATCATAAATAATAAAGATTGGGACCAGCCAAATGAAGAAACATGGGGAGTGAGGTCTTGGAGTGCCCCAAACAGAGCTTCCATGCCCTCTCTGGGTAGAATCAGGAAGAATCACCCTCCTGGGACATCAATGTGTTTATCAACCAGGCAGCTCCTCCGAGCTTTGGTGTCCAGAGTTTTTTTTTTTTTTTTTTTTTCCTTTTTGTCTTTTTTTTTCGTGTCCGGCAATGGACCGCAACCCTCAGTGTCGCGCCCGTACCGGACCGGGACCGGCAACAGGGTCACAACCCTCGGTGCTGCGCCTGCCCCCCCTCGCTCAGCCAGTGAGCGGGAACCAGTCTGTATGTGGGATCCGAACCCTCGGAGGGAGTGCTGCCGCGCTCCCAAACAGCACACTGTAGCAGTGCGCCACCGGGCCGGCCTGGTGTCCAGAGTTTTTATTGGGGTTTCATTACATAGGCAAGATTGATAGAATTATTGGCTGTGTGACTGATCTCAATCACCATTCCTTCCTTCCCTGGGCGCCCCACATCTCTAATTGCATGGTGGTCTTTCTGGTGACCAGTACCCACCATGTCGTCTCATCTCTTAGCAGAACTCAGGTGTGATTCATGGGTAACAAAGATGCTCCTGCTATTTGGAAAATTTTTCCCACTTGGGAAATTCTAAGGATTTAGAGCCTCCCTCCCAGGAACCAGGGACAAGGCCAGATTCTTTACTACACAATACTCCTGAAGCACTTCCACAGGCTTCCTGCCAACCAGAGTCATGATATTAAGATCAGACAAGGCAAAATTCAGGTCCCAAACACACCATTTCCATAAGTTTACCCTTAGATGCATGCCTGGGTGGCAGAGCTGGGGTTTGTGGGTCCCGAAGCTTGTACAATTTGGGGGTGGAGGAGGAACATCTTTAAGGAAAAGACTAGAAAATTATAAATGCAAACTCAGGTATAAAAACAGGGGGCTCATGCAAGTGAGGGGCCAAAGTTTAGCTGTGTCTGTGTCACAGTAGATCTGCTGCTGCTTGTCCAACTGTGAAATGGCAGAATCACAAGGTGACTTATTGCAACAATGTTTGTCATTGCAAAAGACTGGGGGAAATACCCATTCAGAGGGAGTAGTTAAAAAAAATTATGGTCTGTTCATGCAATGGAATACTATGCAGCTGTATAAGAGAACAAGGTACTTCTTTTTGGTTTGTGGGTGTTTTTTTGGCAGCTGGCCAGTATGGGGATCCAAACCCTTGACCTTGGTGTTACAAGGCTGTGCTCTAACCAACTGAGCTAACCGTGCAGCCCAAGGGACGTTATATACTTCCATGGAAAGATCTCTAAAATGCATTAAGTAAAAGCAGAATAGTGTTCATACGATGTCTCCTGTGTGTGAAAAAAGAAGGGAAATCATGTATATTCATATCTGCTTGTATATGAATAAAGAACTTCTGGAAGGTTCTTAAGTACACTGTGTGTGTGTGTGTGTGTGTGTGTGTGTGTGTGTGTGT